CAACAACTTTTGACTTTTTAGGACTTACGGTGAAGCGCCATTTACGGAAAAATATGGTGGCATGATCGAGCATTTTGCGGAGTTGTTGAGGGTTTTCGGCTAGGAGGACAATATCGTCTGCGTAGAAAAGTCCGGGAATAATAATGGTGGTAAAACGGATACCTAAGTTCTTGGATCGAAGTTCGTCAATAAGTGGAGAGATGACAATTGAGAATAGAAGTGGGCTGAGAACTGCCCCTTGTCGGGTTCCGAGATCGGTTTTAAAAGCGTCCGTAAGCCCGTATGGGGTAATAATGGACGATTCGTTGTTCACATACAGTATTGGGGAAGTGTTCCTGTCTTGCCTCTGAGAGTGTTTCACTTGCCCCTTCTTACAGTCAGGTTGTGGGAAGTAGCTCTCAGAAGGTCTTTGTTACTCCTGTTAGGCAGCAAAAAATCGCCCGTTCAGGGGCTCGAACCCTGGACCACGTGGTGCACTGAGCAGCATCACCTGAGGAGGTGAGCCCGTAAAAGCCACGCGCTCTACCAACTGAGCTAAACTGGCGATGCAATGCATTTTGTGTGAAAGCACAGCCAATATATATACCAAAAAAGTACGAAAACGTTACCTAACAAGTACGAAACCCTTCCAACATGGCCCTAGTTGGCCCATGTTCGATATTGTAGAGGACTAGTTGCCTGGTGCAGATCACCGGGCCACCTTTACAACTAAAATCGGGGGGGCTGCCGCCCCCCCGAGCCCCCCTGCTTCTTCCTCTTGCGGTTCTGTACGTCATTGCACGAAAGTGGACGATAGGGCCTGCAGCTATCCAGGTGTGTAGGAATTGGCTGGCAGTGGTCACTCAGGCCTCACTCTCAAGGAAGCCGGAAAATCGCAATGGCATGGCGGACAACTCGGACCTGGAAGGCGCAGCAAGAGCCAGCGATGACAAGCGGTTTTCTTTAAGGAGGGGGGTTGTCGGTGGCCAGTTTCGGCTGGATAATTGCAGTTTACTCGCATGAGGCCTTTCCGTATTTTGCATCTGTCAATTTGAAGACCATTCCATTGAGGAGTTAGGTTGACGCCGATCAAACGCTTCGTCTTTGAGGCATTTAAGATCAGACAGACGCCATCAGACAGAAGCCATCCCGGTTGTCAGAAGCACAAGCCATGTTTGGAGCCACTTCGGGCAGCGGTGAGTTGCTGCATAATATTCCAGTTGCCCATCCTGTGGCAGAATTTTGCTCTTGTGGTTTGCCTGTTTTACAGGCGACATTTTTTTGCATTGCCTTCCTTTAAAGAAATGGCTTTGGACAAGTTTAATGGCCTTGCTAAACAGCGTCTGTTAGACATGCCGGATCTTTGCTCCAGTGTTCATACACAACATTGCATACAGGTGCTCGCAGCGCATCTTAACGGTCTGTGTTGCTTTGATCCTAGGCGTAGGCTACCATTTCTTCCTGCCAAATGCTTGAACTGAAGTCTTCAACAAGGTCTTCTGCCTGCTCATAAACTGGGCTCATTTGAGCCTTACTCGATGCTAGGCTGCGCAGGGCTCCTCTTCCGTTTTCCTGCTCGGAATATATGAGTGGCACAACCTCTGAGCAATTGACTCTAATGTCTGCTTCTCCTCGTGCAGCCTTTGGGGCAACCCAGCCCAACCCGTTTGCCGCGTCCTCCGCACCTGCCTTTGGCCAGTCCTCCGCAACGGGAGGGGGCTTGTTTGGGGCGCGGCCCTTTGGTGCCTCTGCCTCTCCCTTTGGCGGGCAGCAGGCGGGCGGCGGCCTGTTTGGTAGTGGCACCGGAGGCGGAGCGCTTGGGGGGGCTACGCAGTCGGCCTTTGGCGCCACCCCAGCATTTGGGCAGACAACCTCAACACCAGCCTTCGGAGGAACGGCAACGTTCGGTGGGTCTCAACCCATCTCATTAGGGTTCTTTTGTTCCATGCTTGCTTCTGAATCCGTATGACTTACTGCAGTTTTATCTGTTTGCCTCTGCAGCTTGTTTAGAATCACCATCCAAAAGAATCTGGTAAAAGCTGTATGTAAGGACAAGGATGGAACTCGACGGGCCAACCTTGCAGAGCTCCGAACTTGGGGCGTCTTTAGGTGGAAAGTGAGCATGATGTATTCACAAGCTGCCATCCAGTTCTTGACCTAACTACATCTGCTTTGTTCTGTGGAGGAAACTGCTGCAGACGGTCTTCCGTTGCCTCACCCCCTTGGTCCGCTATTGCTTCCAGGTTCCCCGCAGCAGAGCAATCCTTTCGGAGGGGCCTCCTTTGGTGCCAGCCAGCCCGCCTTTGGCAGCAATGCTTTTGGGGCTGCTTCGGCGCCAGCGTTTGGAGCTGCGTCCACGTCTGCCTTTGGCGCAACGTCTGCACCGGCGTTCGGAACCTCAACCTTTGGTGCCTCTGCCCCTGCCTTTGGCTCCACTGCCTTTGGGGCCACTAGCGCCCCAGCCTTTGGTACTTTTGGGCAGAGCGCCCCGGCCTTCGGGGCATCGACGGGGGGAGCGTTTGGTGCAGCATCTGCGCCAGCTTTTGGACAGAGCACTTCCCCTTTCGGCCAGGCATCGTCAGCTTTCGGTGAGGTCTCCCTTACCTTTGCTTTGAAGCGTTGCTAGTTTCCTTCCTACGACTGTATGTCTCCCTGTTGCAAAGTAGCCTGAGATGCTTCACGCGGCTACCTTTTGTCCAACAGCATGGACAAAAGGTCGCATGCGCTAGTGGCTCATACTCCCTTTCTTGGTTCATGTCCCCAACACCGGGAGCAACAAAGCCATCTTTTGTGCTGCCTCCACTGCTATGCATATGTTTCTATCTCTATTGCTGCTGCGCATGCTTAGCTCTTGCGAGCTCAACCTGGTCCATTTCCCTGGCAGGTGCTGTTTCCACGACCCCTGCTTTCGGAGCAGGGGGAGGCTTTGGCGCGGCCGGGTTTGGTGGGCAGCAGAAGGGCACGCGGTGGAAGCGGTTTGAGCCCACCCCCGAGGCGGACGGCACCGCGGGGGGCGTGCAGGCCAAGTTCCAGAGCATCACGTCCATGAAGGAGTACGCCAACAAGTCAGTCGAGGAGCTGCGCGCAGAGGACTACGCCAACAACGACAAGGGTGAGGCCCCGAGGCACTTCAGGCGTCATTGTACCCGTTGTGTTCTTGCTTCTTCTACCAAAGTTCTTGGAAAATTGAAAAGAGTTATGTCCTCCTGCACAGTTTTGCAAACGGGACGGGAGAACAGGTTTGAGGGTTAAGGTCAGCCCACTGGTTGTCCTGCTGCCTGGCAAGTAGAAGTGCTGCTCACAACATCTTGACACTTTAGCTGTACAATTTTGCAAATGCTTTTTGCTCGAAATTTCTCTGGGAGGCATGTGTTCACGCGTCCTTTTTGAAGTTGTGTCCAAGCCACCTCCGCATTGCCCATCTCCTGTTCTGGAAAGCAACCACGTCTGTTGTACTCTGACCATTCTCCTACTTCTGCAGGTGGACCCGCTCCCGCCACCCCTGGTGGTGGCCTCTTCGGTCAGCCTCAGGCGGCTCCTTCCCCTTTTGGCGGGGCTGCTACCCCGAGCCCCTTTGGCGCGTCTTCCCAGTCAGCCTTTGGCGCCGGCACGACTCCCAGCATCTTCGGCTCCCCCTCGCAGCAGCCCAGCCCGTTTGGCCAGCCCGCCAGCACCCCCGCCTTCGGAGCGGCTTCGACGCCCGCGTTTGGCTCCACGCAAACCTTTGGGGCTCCCACGCAGGCCAGCCCCTTTGGGGCGCCAGCGCAGACGTCCGTCTTTGGTGCGCCGTCAACAGGTGAGGAGACTGAAAGCGATTGCTTTGCAAGACAGCAGTCTCAACATTGACAGTCTTTCACACATCCAATGAGCATCTACCATCTTGCGGTCATTAGAGCTGCGTTATGCCTGATTATTGTTCTCTCAGCACCATAAGGCGTCAAACTTCTGTTCTATGCAGTGGGTCCCTATCTGCACACCCCTCACACTTTTAGCAGCTGAACCCATCGTTGCTCCGGTTCGCTCTCGACAGGGAGTGCGTTCGGCGCCCCCAGCAGCACCCCTGCCTTCGGGGGCGGTTTTGGCGCCCCTGCCAGCCAGTCCGCGTTTGGCGGCACTCCGTTTGGATCTACGCCCGCGTTTGGGTCTCAGGCTGCTAGCGGCAGCAGCATCTTTGGGCAGACGACGGGCACCTTTGGCACCGGCGGGGGCTTCAACACGGGCGCCGCTACCTCCGCGTCTGCTTTTGGCAGCACTTTCGGCAGTAAGTGGACAGCTGAAAAGGACGTCCACTGTTGCAACGATTTGCAGTGCAGAGGATATCGGGGCTGCAATCTGACGGGTTGAACATGCAGCAAGAGGGAGCTTGCAAACCAAGCGAGCTCCCTCGTGCTTAGCGACCGACTGCGAAACGCTGTTGACGGCATCGTTCATGGCACACCTGTCGTTGAGTATCTTGATTCTCCCTATTCGTCTCCACACCATGTGCTGGGTCTGTTTTCAGGTCATGACCTGGTCCGCTTCCTCTCTGCAGGTTCTCCTTTCGGAGCCCCATCGACCACCCCGGCGTTTGGCGCCCCCACGAGCTCCTCCATCTTTGGGCAGACGACCACCCCGTCCCTCTTTGGCGGCCAGACGGGCAGCGCATTCGGCTTCAATGCAGCACAGACCGGCACCAAGGCGGCAGGTAATGGCCCCTACTTCTTCTCAAGTGGCATGGCTGAGCTGAAGCCATGTGGTTCCTCCTGCAGATTTCTTAAGGCTGTTTCTACTTGTAACAAACAATATGTGCCTGGAATCTCTGTTTCGGCACTTTGTTTCGCGAATGCTGCTTTATGGCTGTCCTGACTGGGGGTGAGTCTGAGCTTAGAATCCTGAATATCTGGGCCGCCGATCATGCAGGGCCTCAAACTGCTGAGCGAACATGGGTTTCGATTTGCCCAGGTTATATCATCTTGAGCCTTTCGCATACAGTGAACGCCCTCTGACTTGTCCTTTTTTCTCTTTTCGCAGGCCTTACTCTGACCATGCCTAGCACCTCTGGTGGCCTCTTTGGCCCCCAGCAGCCCAGCGCCGCCCCCGGCTTCGGAGGCAGCATCTTCGGCGCTCCTTCTCAGCCAACGCAGACCAGCATCTTTGGCGGGGGGGGTGGGGCCTTTGGGGCGCCCCAGGCGGGTGCCAGCCCCTTCAGCTTCTCCACGCAGCCGGCCGGCGCTTCCCCGTTCAGCTTTGCCCCCCAGCCGCAGCAGCAACAGCTGGGGGGGGTGCAGCCCACTCTGCAGCCCAGCCCTGTGGCAGCCCCCTACGGGACTCTCCCCGCCATGCCGCAGATCAGCATCACGCGCACCGGGGGGGGCTCTCCCGCTGTTCAGTATGGCATCTCGAGCCTGCCAATGGCGGATCGTGCCCCCCCCGCGGTGCGCACGACCAGCATGCTCACCCCGCGCCACATCACACCGCGCTCGCGGATTCGGCTGCAGGCGCGCAAGGTCGCGCCGCGAGTCTCTCCAGGGGGGAAGGCCGGCTTCTTTGGGGAGGCTTTGGAGCAGTCCCCCATTGCGCGAGCGGACGTGCTATTTGCCCCCCGGTTGGATAACCCGCGCACGCTGTTCATCCGGGAGCAGACGGCGGACTACAGCCTCAGCCCGGGGTCCATCAACGGGGAGAACCCCGTGAAGCGGCTGACTAACGGGGAGACGCCGCAGAAGCAGCTGACGGCAAACGGAGAGACTCCGGCAAAGCGCTCGGAGGCAGCGAGCCCCTCCACGCCCGGCGGCCAGTCCACTCCGGGGGGGCAAGCAGCGAGCCCGATGTCTCAAGGGGGCGAGACTCCTGCAGAACGGACACCCCCGCGGAATGGCGAGACGCCCAGTCCGGCGAAGCCGCAGGAGAAGGGGAAGCAGCCCGTGAGAGAGGAGGAGAATGGGAGGGCGGAGAGGAGCGGGGCGGCAAACGGGGCTCACGAGGGGGTGCTCCCGAAGCTGCGGTCGGCAGACTATTACACGGAGCCGAAGCTGGCGGAACTGGCGGCGAAGGAGCGAGCGGAGAAGGGGTATACACGGCGGGTGCCCAATTTCACGGTAGGGCGCAAGGGCTTCGGCAGCGTGCGCTTCCTGGGCGAGACGGACGTGCGTGGGCTCGACCTGGAGGAAATCATCATTTTCAACGACAAGGAAGTCATTGTGTATCCGGACGAGGACAAGAAACCGGAAGTGGGCGAGGGGCTAAATCGCCCCGCTGAAGTGACGGTTCTGAACGTGAAGCGATTTGACAAGAAGACAGGGGAAGCGATTACCCAGGGACCAGCGCTGGACCGCTTCGAGCGCATCCTGCGTGAGAAGACGGCGGAGCAGGGGGCGACGTTCATCGGGTGGAACCGCGAGAAGGGGGAGTGGAAGTTCCGGGTGGAGCACTTCAGCAAGTACGGGCTGTACCTGGACGACGAGGATGACGACCCCGACGAGGACATGACGTCAGCGCAGGAGAACGGGCGGGCGCCTGCGGAGGCGGAGGGCTCTGAGCTGACGTTTGGCGGTGCGCAGGGGCTGCGGGGTGGGGAGGAGCAGGGGGAGGTGCTGAGCGCGGGGGCCGGCGCGCTGGCACACTCTCTGCCGAGCCAGTTGGGCTTGGATCCCGTCAGAATGAATCAGATGCGCGCCACGCTGTTTGCAGAGGACGAGGCTGAAGCCGCCCGCCGCCAGCGCTTCATGCGCACCCCGGCCGCCGCTTTCCCCACCCCTAGTTTTCCCACGATGATGACCCCCGAGCGCGAACCAACCCAAAGGGAAGAGGCGGAGGACGGAGGTGGCCGGCCCCTGGCAGTGTGGCAGCGCAAAAGGGCGTTCCACAGTGGCGCGGCCGGTCCAAGCCCGGCCAGAAAAACTGCGCCGTTGGCAATCACGGGTCACGGGCCGGAGGGAGCCCCTCCAAAGCGTGCTCGAGTGGCGGTCGGCTTTGTGGAAGAGGAGGCGCCGGAAGCGGCGGCGGAGCACAGCAGAGCCGGGGTCGACGCCGGGCTGTTCTTGGGGCGGTCGTTTCGCGTCGGGTGGGGACCGGGGGGCGTGCTGGTGCATGCGAGCGGGGCCAGTGCGAGCGAAACTGAGAACCAAGAGCAGCAGAAGCCGCTTTCCTCCCAGGTTCGAGTCGAGCAGGTGGCCCTGAACGCTGTCCCTGACGTGGAGGACTGGTTCGTGACCCCGCTGCAGATCCACCGCAGCCACGCGGTGCAGGAAGAAGGGGCGGGCGCGCGCAGGATGGCGATGCAGTGCGGGCGCGACGAGCTGGGGCTGCTGTGCGAGTACTACAGCGAGATCGCCAGGAACCAGGCGCAGCGAGAGGACGCTGACGTCACCGCCCAAGTGGTCGCTCTTCAGGAGCAGGCGGTATGGCGTCTCGTGGAAGTGCTATTCGCAGAGAAGGGCGGTGCGGCTGCCATGGGGGCTGCGGGCGAAAACGACGATGAAGAGATGGAGGGGGAGGGGCCGCCGGCAGCGGTGGGGTTTGAGGGGCTGGAGGCCGCGTCGATGGAGGACGAAGAAGTGCGCGAGATGGGGCGACGCGCGGCGCTCAGCGCGTGGATCCGCGAAAACGCGCGTCCCAATTTGGAGCGGGACCTGGACGAGATCGAGGTGGCTGCTGACAAGAAGGGCAAGCGCCCGGAAGGTGCGGCGTCAGGGGGATCCCCCATGAAAGAAGTGCTGACGCACCTGACTGCTCGCAACCTGGAAGATGCAGTCGGGGTGGCGGTCGCGGCAGGGGACGTGCGCCTGGCCACGCTCATTGCGCAGTCGGGTGGGAGCGTGGAGGAGCGTGATGACGTGGCGCGTCAGGTGACAGCATGGCGAGAACTCGAAGCAGACCAACACATTGACGAAGACCGTTTACGGGTCTACAAGCTGCTGGCGGGGGACGTGGACGGTGCTCTGCAGGGGGCTCTCCCGGTTGACTGGAAGCGTTACCTGGGGCTCTTACTTTGGTACAAACTGCCCCCCAACGCGTCAACCCCGGAAATCGTGGCTGCCTACAAGGCAGCCTGGACCGCGCAGGCGAGCCCCGTGCCGGCCCCGCTGCCGCTGTACGTGGAAGAAGGGCCGCGCTTGGATCTGCCGCCACCCAAAACCGAGGCGGCGTTTGACACCAGCTACTACCTGCTGCTGCTATACGGGGCCGGCGGGGTCGACCTGGCGTCAATGCAGAAGATGCTGCGCAGCGCGAGCGCCACGCCCGACTGGCTGGACCACCGCCTCGCGTGGCACCTCTACGGTGTGCTCTCAGCGATCGGCATTCCGCTTCCCGCGAGCGCGGAAGACCTGCACATGAGCTTTGCGGCGCAACTAGTGGCGGCGGGGCTGTGCGAGTGGGCGGTGTATGTGGCGCTGCACATCGAGGATGCGGGCCTGCGCGAGCGCGCCGTGAAGGAGCTCCTGGAGCGGCACTGCGAGGAGTGGGCCGGGGACGACGAGAAGGAGGCGCTCCTGGAGGAGCTCAACATCCCAGCGGAATGGATGCACGCAGCGCAGGTAAGGTTATGGTGGAAACGATTCGCGACGTTCACAACATCGGGTATTCCTTGGGGCCCGAGGCGGTTTCATCTTTTGTACTAGCCCTGCCAGAACGTTACTATTGTCAATCTGATGTGCGCATTCTATGGGCACTGTTCACTTTGGTTCCTTGTCCACTTCAGCTCAGATAGGCTTGGAGCTCGGGCTACTTAAACCTTGACGCTGTTCCCAACCCAGGATGGGACGCCCTATCAGTTTCCGGTATTCTGACCGTTGTCTTCCCACCTCTGCTCGCAGGCCCAGCTGTGCCTGGCATCTCGTGACGAGGGCGCGGCCCTGGAGCACCTGATCGCCAGCGGCCAGGCCGGGCCCGCCCACCACCTGCTCATGACCGCTGTCGCACCCCAACTCTTCGTCCAAGGTACGCTCACAAACTGGAACAGCTGGTCGATGCAGCACAAAGATTCCAGCATAAAGATTGTTTTCGTCTTGCTTTTTTCACAACCTGCCGATTATTGTCCCAAAGGGTTCTTTTGCACGTCTGCTCCTTCTCTTCTTGCTGACGCGATTTCGCCATTCCTTTGTGATTGCCTTCCAGTCCGCGGCATCATTCGATCTCGTGTGTCTACTTGCAGGGACCCACGAGGTGCTCATTGCCCGTGTCGAGGCGCTGTCCTCTTTGTCGACCAGCATCGCAGACTGGCCCCGGGGTGGCCAGCTGTATCTGGACTGCTACAACCTGCGCCATGCGCTGACAGCGGAGGTAGACGAGAGGCCGCCCGAATTGGTGAGAAAGCCGCTTGGCCGATTGTTGGGTCCGCACTTGGCACGTTCTGTCGTTCCGTTATTGCAGCTAAGAGATAATTGCCCTTTTGTCGAGGTTAGAAAGCAGTGCGGCAGTCATCGGTCACTCCTCAGGTTCGAGGAAGTACTATTTTCGTTGATAGCGTTTGCTTTCTTTGGTCCCACCTCTTTCGATGAAACGCGAGCTTTCAAACGATTACTTGCGAGTCCTGTGCCGAGGGGCTTGCTTCTCCAAATGCTTTTGGAATGTGCTGACCTGCAGACTATGTGCAATCCACACCCACTGACTCTGTTCGTGTCTTTCTCCTCGCAGGTCGGCTTGGAGCAGCGCACCGCCGCTTGCGAGTCCCTCTTCACACGCATCGCCCAGGCCCGTGTGCTCTGGGCAGGGGGCAGCGGTGACCGCTACCTCAGGTACGTAGACGGCTAATACTGGTGATTCACTGGCAGCCGCACAGAGCGTTGTCTGGCCGGTCCAGCCGCGGGGGTGCGTCCAGTATCTCACATACTTGCCCCACCTATTCCGTTGCGCATCTCCTGACAGTATCCATGTTACATGCTCGAGAAGCCTTTCCGTATCTGAAGCTCTCGTCGGTCCCCTTGGCCTGGAACCGATGTGACTTGCTGTCGGTTACAGAGCACTCTCTGCGCTTTCTTCCGGAGGCCGACTCATACTGCCTTTCAGAGCAGTCCTGGGTCTGCTGTCGACAGTCACCCCGGTTTGTGACAACGACTTTCTTTCTTTCTTTGAGTGCAGGCTGGTGTACGGCCGCATGGCCGACGACCTGTCCCGGCTGCTCCGTGCGGACACCGAACAGAGCGCGCCCACCGAGTCCCTGGCGGCCGCGGCATACACGGCTCTGCTCCGTACTCCGGCACCCCAGGACGTGCGCGCGTGCAGGGCCCACGACGCAGTGGCGCACTTCACGCAGTGGCTCGCGGAGCCGGTTGCATGAGCAATGTCAACGGGAAGAAGCGAATGAAAGAGCCGCAAAGCGGCCTTAGCACAAAATCTCTCCTAGAGGAGAGGGTTTTGATCATGAATCGAATCCTAGGATGCTATGTGTAGGATGCTGAATGCTGATGCGATATGTTCATGACTGGATTGTTAGGTTGAAGTTGGTTGCATTGTTGAATCTGCTCAGTGCCCCACGTGTAGTGTTGAACGCTGATAGGTTCAAGTGGTAGTTCAATTCTTAGTCCTGAAAGATGCGTAGGAACCTGCTAGCTTGAATCAACTTGCCACATTGTATTCTGCCAGATGCTTCCTGTCTGCTGATTGATTGTGCCCGACCATTGAATAGTAATCCTCATTCATGCTTTCCAAAGTTTCTTGTCATAGTGTGTAACATTTGTGAGATGTTCTCCCCCGGGTCACCAAAGTGCTAGCGTAGATAAAATCTAACTCTCTGGAAAACTCACCAAAGACATTGCGGCCCCGCCGGCCACAGTGAACGGAAAATTGGAATGACGTACCGTGCCAGTTTATTGCGATTGTGTGAATGATTAGGGCCCACCGCGGCACCGCCATTCAGATCGTGCCAGTACATGCATATGGACTAGTTCGAATCGTTGGCGCTAGGTCAACAGCGCTATGTCACTGCTTATTGAAGCATATGCTGGCACGATATCCGGGGCGGGCTTACGCACCGACGGTTGCAAAAATGACGGCCATGCGCGTTCGATATGCCACTGGACACCTTTGTTATATATATTGCATAGTATAAGATATGCATGCATTGAGAATTCACGCGCGGCCTTTCAAATCGATCATGGCCGTCAATGATGTGCATGGGCGGCAGCGGCCATGAGCGGAAGGGGACGAACTATACCGTCCCGGCGCCAATTAAGTCATACTATTAGTACTATATGAGAATCATTGAATCTCCGAGTCTCGATCTGATGGACCGCGCGGCCGCGGCTCTGAAGCCTGTATACTTTTGGCGCATCGGTATAAAATGATCAACCGGTACCGCCCTATATAGACACGGACAACCAGACTCCAGAGTCGAGGGCCCGAGGCCCCGGCCAAGGATTCCGACCCGGGCGGGATAACCAGATGGTGTCGATACCCGGCCTGAACCTCTGAAACCCTCGGCTACTAGGCACAAGCCGCGCGCGGCCGTGCTGCGGCAATGGTGCCAGGCACTGAAGCAGGGGTAACGCACCCCCATTTCGTCGAACTGATGGACTATAATCTAACTTCTAAGTGATTGTCACGTCACTAGTTGCTAGCGCTGTACCAAATGGAATCTAACTCGCTTTTCTATTCTGACCATTCAAAGCCGATTGTACTTTGATTACATTATCATTCTAGACTTTGATCTAGCTGAGTAGAAGCGGCTACGTTGCAGTGGGCATCGTTTGCTTGCAGCCACCTAATCGCAAATTTGCCGGCAGTGTCTGCGAATAGTCCTCTCCTTAACGTGATTGCAATGGCACCAACTCGATCTTCCAGCTGGGACCAGCTCGCCGGGGAACACTCGACCCACCACTTCCTTTACTTCTCCTCCAGAACCTTCAGAAAAATCTACCTCTCATCACTCCCAGGATTCAGCTGACTGGCTATGGAAGACCAAGTACAAGATTGCGGTGGGCGCCGCAGTGGGTGGTCTCGCGTTCTTTGCTCTCTTCCGGTACCACGTGTGCACCCCCAGCCAGTACCTGGTCAAAACGGGGCTGGGCATCCCGGACATGGCCATCGCGCGCAAGACAATGCAGTGGCCCTGGCAGGAGGTACGCACTTGGCGCTCTCATGATTGTTTGTGCCTTCGATTCGAAGCTTGATGCAAGATCAGTACATCCGCACAGGCCAGTTATATGAGGTTGGGGCCCTCCGGACAATTGGAGGGTCCGTCTGTCATTCGACCGGTCAACCTCCGGTCAATCTCCGGTCAAATGACAGAGAATTCTGTCGCGCGTCCGGTCGGAAGTTGAATTACTGAACCAAAATTTAAAACCGGCGAAATTGCTCGTTATTTTCGGCGAGTCTGCGGCGGAAAATCACAGCCGGAAAAATAACAAAACTTGGTCATTTTTTTGCGGGCAATAAGATCGATGGAACAGCTAACCCTCCCGGCCTCAGGCAGCCCTAATTACCGTAGTCCAACGTGATGATTCCGAACAAATAAATAATTATTTGCGTTCGGAAAGTCAAAAATTCGGATTTCCCATTCGGAAAGTGAAAATTCGGAAAGATAAAATAATCCTGAAATGGTCCTCGGAAGCCGTGAAAATGCCAAAAACAGCCAAAAACTCCCATTTTGAGTGAGACCATAGGGCATTCGGATTTTGGTCGGAATCAGCATAAACATTTCTACTTTCCTGGTCGGATTGATGGAAAATAATTCGAAATAAAATCGTTCGGAATCATCACGTTGGACTACGGTACCCTCTGGTCAAGGCCGGGAGGGTTAGGTGTTCCGTTTGTCTTATTGCCCGCAAAAAAATGACAAAGTATTGTTGTTTTTCCGCCTGTGATTTTCCGTCGCAGACTCGCCGAAGATAACGAGCATTTCGCCGATTTTAAATTTTGACTCGGTAATTAAACTTCCGTCCGGACGATCGACAGAACTCTCCCGACTCCTCCGGTCAATTGTCCTGACGATCTCCGGTCAAATAATAGACCTACCCTCCAATCGTCCGGAGGGCCCCAACCTCATATAAGTAGCCTGTGCGCTTTTCAGCTCATGAATCAGATATGCAGGCGCACACCTGGCAATCATTCTTAGACACCTTGGCAGACGTATTTGTGACTGACTTGTAGGTGAATAGGGGACGGTTTGTGAACATTGTAACAAATGCGCTTGTCACCTTCCGAGCTGCCCTTCTCATGGGGAAAGCGACTCCTTTCTGTGGCAGAAACTTGAGAGAAGAAGAGCCCGTCCACGAGGTGGCAACTCAAGTTTTAAAACACCCCGTGTTTTATTCATCTTAATTTTTAAACACCGCACAAAATTACAAGCGCTGAGGTTTTATTCGTAACCAACGGATAGAGCTCGTCAAGAGGCGCCTAAAACACCCCTTATTTTAAAAATGGACCCCCCCCCCTGAGTTTTAAAACAACTTTAAAACGGAATAAAACAGCTAAAACAGCCGCAAGACATGTGCGTCCAAGATGAGGCTCAAAACATCTCTGTTTTAAAAACAGCAAAACAACTAAAACGTTTTAAAATGCCTTCTTCTTAACATATCCGGCTTTTATTTGCGATAAGCTGATTGCTTTCAATCTGGATGGATGTAATACGTGCACGAAAACCAAGAAAAGCCTATAAAACGTAAATAAAACGTCTTCGGGGCGCTTTTCAACCATTTTAAACGTTTTAAAACAGTTTTAAAACGGTCGAAGCAAGCCAAACGAGGTGTTTTACTCCGCACATGACATGTTTTAAAACGGGAATTGCCACCCCGGGAGCTCGTCCTACAATTTCGTTGAAAAAGAAAAACCGGAAAAAGAGTAACGTGCCTGGTTCTCATGCGGCTCCCAGGTGCGCACGTACAACATGGCCCCGCTCAACTACTCGTTCCACCTGAACAACAATATGTCCTCCGAGATGGTGCCCTTCCGCCTCCCAGGTAAGCGGCGCGCGGCGTCACGTTGGATGACGGACTCCAGCTTGCGTGAAGGAGGTTGATTCAACCAAAGTTTTCTGAACGTTGTTAGTGAGGACATGACCAACCGCAAGACAGGGTCTCACGAGGGTCAAAGTGTTGTTGATACGGATTTACATGCAGCCAAAAAACGTCCAGGAGCAAAAGCGCTCAAGGCAAAGCTTCGAGAACTCGCACCCAGTGTATGTGCTCAGCAGGGGCCTGCTGGCTGCTCGTAAAGATCTGCAACATCAGGCAGCGCATTCCGACTGTCAACCAGAACGAACTTCCGCTCACGCTGGAGGCAGAAATGTTACTAGATGTAGCTTCACTCGCAGCCACTCGCCTGCTTCCACGAATGAAAAGACCTCGCTTTGACATCCGCTGCATAAAGTCTTACCGTGAACCTCGCTCAAGTCGATGCAAGGCTTCCGTCGTGTTTTGGGGACTCTGTCTTACGGTTGGCCCCGAAGAGGGCCTGGCCTTCGTTTCAAACGCGCTTTCTGACTATAGAAGCGTTGCTGACGTGTGCCCCGCAGTGAGCTTCACGATTGGCCCCAAAGATCCACGCGAGGACTTGGAGGGCTTCAAGACGTATGCCACCAAGCTGGGCGACCTGCCGCCGGAGAAGGTCGAGGCCACCATCGGGGGGGTCATCCACGGTGAGGCCGCGCACCCCTGAGACGGAGCACTCTGGGGGTTTATTTTGATATTTTGTTTTGAGGACTGGCATTAGGCATTCAACAGGGTCGACAGCTTTGTCTGACAAACGAGGATTTCAGAAGGAGCTGGGAATCGAAATGCAGGCGACCGATCCTGCTTGGTCTGTATGAGGAAAGGCTACGCGCTAGACAATGAGCTTGTAATTGCTGGAGCCAAATCAACTCGTTCTCCGAAGCGGGACGGTAAACAGATTTAAGTTTCTGGCTTTACCCCATTTGTCTTCGACGCTTTGGTTATTTGCACTGGACGGTGCTCAGACGTGCGCGGCGGAGGCGAAGGCCGTGAACCCGTGTTCGTGTAGAAATGGAGAAAGGAAACGAAGCCCACTTTTCATTTGTGTAGGCGAGACTCGCGTCTTCTCCGCGGGTTTGACCATCCGGGAGATGTTCGAGGACCGCGAGAAGTTCAAGCGGACGGTGCAGGACAAGATCCAGCACGACATGAACGCCGTGAGCGCCTTCCGCACTCTGCGACTTAGAAGCTTGGACCGAGCGCAATCCTCGAATTTTCCTGCTCCCTCCAACTCATTGGCCAGACATTCTACCTTATTGTGGTCTCACTTGCGTTCCATCTCACGTCCAGAATCGGCCGCAGCGTTTCATGCAGCATCAAAACGTTTCCGGTTAGAAACTTCCAAGCAACGAGCATTTGTCTGGGCGACTGAATGCATCTTGCAAAGACTAATGCTCACGAACGGTTGGAACACTTTTTGTGCCGCTCGCTCACATCGACCTCATTAGCAGAAGTTAAGATGAACGATTGCTCAGCTTATCAGGCTTCGAAGTATCCACCGAGGCTGAACTTTCAGTGTGATGATTTGTTGCCAGCTATTTTTCAAAATCTTTTGAAATGGCGTCGACGGGCGTACGTCGCTTCAAGGACTTGAACTTTAGACTCCCTCGAGCTAGAATTCACAAGTCTCACATTGCGTGGCTGGCTGCTGCCTGCAGTACGGCTTGAAGATTTACAACGCCAACATTGCGGAGATGGCGGACCAGGACGAGCAGACGCGCTACTTCCAGAACTTGCGACAGAAGGCGCTCGAGGGGGCCAACACCGAGATGCGCATCCAGGTCAGCGCGCGCGCGTCCAGGCGCACACCTTCTTTAATGGAATGGGCACTAGACGCTAGATTTGTAATATTCTGTGCCCAGACGGACGGTTGAAGCAGTCCCTTACGGCCGATCCGACTTCCCGCGTTGGGCCGATGCCTCGCGCACATTCTCTGAGACTCCAGCTTACACCTTAGAGCTGCCGTCTTGAAGCACCTTTCTTTGACGTCAACTCTGAACAGACTAGCAATGATGCCGTCTCCTAGCTTGTCTCTACCCGCTTTCTTAATTCTTTTCCTTAGGTCGCCGACGCGCGCATGAAGGGCGACATCGGCGAGCGCGAGCGGCAGTCGCGCGCAGCGCAGGAGGTGGCGCACATCGAGGCGACGATAGCAGAACGCAAACGCGCAGCGCGTCGCGCACTCCGAGAAGGACCTCGCCATCGTACGCGCGCAGTGCGAGCGCGAGCGGCTGCTGGCAGAGATCGACGTCAGCATGGCGACGGACAAGCGCAAGGCGGAGCTGGAAACGGAGGTGGATCGCGCGCGCACCGCGCAGCAGATTGCGTACCTGCAGTCCACGCAGGTGAGGGCGCGGCGAGAAGGAAGCAAACACGGAGTTGATGATAAGGCACGAGAAGAGAATGTGGCATTGCAAATCGTCCGAAACTTGTCAGTTTTGATTATTGAGAGCGACGTAGTCAGAGCACAAGCGCGCACGTCCGCGTTTTCCGACGCCCAGCCGTCAATTCGACCCTTCTTTCGAGGGGCAGAGCTTGCCGGGTTCTCTGATCCTTCAAAAGTTTCGGCTCTGATCTGCAACGGACGAACTAATGTAGGATCAAAAGTACTGGCTCTGATCTGCAACGGTG